TTTGATTTAATTTGCAAATTTTAATTTCGCCGTTTTTGCAGGTAGCAGTCAGTATTACTGTCCGCGTTACATTCCGAAACATCCTTTGCCGTTTTACTTCTTCAGGCAGGATATAGAATCATTCCTCGCACTCGAAATTTTTCAGGTTATTTAAGTTAATCAAAAGGAAAAAATTATCAGTGTCCCGCACAGTGGTACAGCTCCATATATTTTTTGGAAAAAACAGAAGGAATCGGCGTAGAACCTCAAATTTCTGGACACAAAAAAAAAAAACTAAAAATTACATAACCTAACCTCAAAAGCCTCTTAAAACGCTATAAAAGTGCACCGAAAAATATATGATTCCGAAATTTTTTCCAAATATTTTTAATAACGTTATGTGTGAGCCTTCAAAAATTCGGCGTAAATGGCGTGAGGGCCATTTTCACCAACTCTGATTAATACAAATCCCCAGTTAAACATCGTTATCTACATCTCCGACTCCATGCATATAACATTGTGTCGGTAACGTCGGCAATGGTGTTTAACTAGGGATTAGCCTCAACCAAAGATGGCGAAAATGGCCCTAAGAAAACAATAATCTCAATCAGTTTTATTTTAATAAAATTCTTCAGACTTTTGTTGCTTTTATTTTTGATATAAAACTGCCAATTTCGTACAAAGCTATAATTTCTCTTATTTAAATATCACTTCGTTAGGCTAAACCATTGAAATATAAAAATTTCATACTGCGCAAGATATAATATTAAAATTAGTAATTTTCAAATATAAGATACACCCGAATGTCGATATTTATGTATATATCTGTTTGCATTTTTGCGGCACAACGAAGGCGCGCGCGCCGTCATCTGTTGCCACTTTGACTTACGAAAATTGGATATCCTTTATGGGTACGTTGGTGCACTCGTTTCCTTCGTAGCTGAGTGCGCACGAGCAGGAAGCATTGCTTGGTTGGCGTGTTGCTGTTGTTACTGTTGGCTGCTGCTGTCACTACTTTTGGCTGCTTCCGATCATTTTTTGGTGGCAATGATGGAGGAAAAAGGATCAAAGCCATGAGGAGATTGAAGCAAGGCAAAACTAAAAAAAAAAAACAAATATAGTCGAAAAAACTTTCGAGCAGCAGAGCAAAAGGCGCGTCCTAAAAATTACCGTAACAACATTGGAGGAAGCCTCTTAAAGGCGCATTAAAAATTACAACAAGAAAAAGTCTACTTTTTATACAACGAACTAAGTACTATCTACATTTGGCTAACTGTTTGTTTGATCAAAAAAAAAAANAAAAAGTCTACTTTTTATACAACGAACTAAGTACTATCTACATTTGGCTAACTGTTTGTTTGATCAAAAAAAAAAATACAAAATAGAGAAAAAAGTAGGAAATAAGCAAAAAATTAATGAACGTATGGCGCGCATTAAAAAAGAGTTGAATTAGTTGCCCCCCCCCAACGATGGCGCACTTTGGTTCACTTTCGTACATACAAAGGGTACGCACATGCACAGGACATGCGCTCTGTCTTAAGAGCATAAATTAACAATGGTGGTTACTGGCGAGGTGTTAGGTAAGNAACGATGGCGCACTTTGGTTCGCTTTCCTACATACAAAGGGTACGCATATGCACAGGACATGCGCTCCGGCTTAAGAGCATAAATTAACAATGGTGGTTACTGGCGAGGTGTTAGGTAAGGATACGCTTCGTTATGCTCCATACATGAGCGATCCAAAAGCCATACCCCAAGACATACATATGTTTATATATATATGCGCATTCATCCAAATCTACTACATGCACGCTTGAAAATGTTTTACAAGTATTTGGCTGCTTGAATGCATCTACACTTACATCAATGTCCTTTAGTTCGATCTTGAACACGTGCACTACGAAGGCGCAGGCGCAGGCGCAGGCGCGTGTGCGTCAGATGGTCACACAAATACTCGAATTTAGGTAAAATGAATTAGTCGAGCAGAAGACGAATGAAATTAAAAAAAAAAAAAAAACACAACGATTATGCGAGAAAAAAATAATATTATTTGTTAAGGATAATTTTGATAGCACTTAAGGGCATGCACTAACACATGTACATGCGCATATGTACATGTATGTATGTATATTGGGCTATTGATAGACTAGAGAGTATTGGAATTTCATACTACCTTCGAAGATTAATACGAATCTATTTCCATTCGCGAGTCCTGCGATACGAAACGGTCCGAATTACCCCAGGGATCAGGCGATNTGCATGCACTAACACATGTACATGCGCATATGTACATGTATGTATGTACATATATTGGGCTATTGATAGACTAGAGAGTATTGGAATTTCATACTACCTTCGAAGATTAATACGAATCTATTTCCATTTGCGAGTCCTGCGATACGAAACGGTCCGAATTACCCCAGGGATCAGGCGATTAGCCTATTAGGCTTTGCAGAGGACATTGCGGCAGTAATGTCGGCGAATAGCTTGAAGTCATAACCCAAAAAGGTAGACCCATCAGTCGGCGGGTTCAAGCTAGCCGAGCAAAAAACACAAGAAATACTCATCTCGAGTCGTAAGTAGGAGGTAGAGGAGGTAGCGCTGAAAACTGACGAACACATCATCCCGAAGAAACGATTAAATACTTAGAAGTGGTACGAGAGAGGCGTCGTACTTTCAGTGCGCACTTAAGATTAGTTGCCCCCCGTTTTGAGGACTGTGAAGAGGCTATAGCTTAGTTAAGTAGGTCTTAGGTCTACGATGGTGTTGAAGTGTTTGGCGGTCCTCTGAGCGTCTGAGAAATTGCGACCATACGTTGAGGGCGCTAGATTCTCGGTTGCGAATAATAGCTGGTTTGATCGAATACTCTAGGTTGTTAAGGATGGCTCGTTTGGTGGAGGAAAAAACGCTGATTATCAGCTTGGAGAATAGAATTAATTTGTTTGGTCGAAATACCATTGGGCTTTTCGGCGAGTTTTGAAACAATATTACGATAATCCGTATGCGTATATTCAAAGACCACGAGCCATGATTGTACGGTGAGGAATGGGAAAATCTTTCGTTAGGTCAAGCCGAGTGTTAATTTACAGCAAGCTTGGGGAAACGCAATGTTTTATCCGGATTAACGACGCAGTGGATCTGATCGAAATTGTGCATTGACAGGCGGCAGTAATGCGGATTAACGAGTAGCAGGGTCGTGGGTTCGATTCCCCCCGTAAGTAGAACTTTGATTTAGTCTTTTTTCTATTCAATTATTTCTTCTATATTTTTTAACGTTGCAAAAATATGCCGAAAAACTAGAGAATTGTACGGTGAGAACGCAGTGAGTGACACCTGGGCCAGGAGTGGTTTGCTCGAGCACTGAATGCTTGATGCGGAGTTCTAACTTCATAAATCTATTGGCTGAACGAGGTCTCATGGAAATAGCCCATGTTACACAGGAAAAAGAGCAGTAAGAATCCTTCCCGGTTTCACTACAATGTACCAAGCTATTACATCGATACGCCAGCGATGGCGTACATACATATATATAGAAGCTGAAGCAGAATCTATACTTGTGAAGGACGGAGTTCGGAGAAGAAATTAATTCACCACTACCTTTTTTTTGTGTCCGGGTCTGTAGTCGAAATGATTCTAATAATTAACAATGAATTATCCATACACGTACTCCAAATCTGATACCATTAAAAGTATAAGATTGCCAAATTTTCCTAGTAGAGTCAGAACTAACAAATCCCACAGGTCGATTAAGTCAATGCTGACCGATAAGTCAATCAAATCTTTCCCCTACCCCCTGAGACATGAGCTGCTTCTTTGTATTAAGCCACGGCGCCTGAAATTCCAACCAGAAATAATACGATTCCCCGATTTTCGAAAAAGTAATTATAATTTTCCTAAACAAATCTTTCGAAATTTAATGCCAAAAACAACGTACAGCGGCTAGAAATTGCTTTACCTCAATAAGGTTTTCTTAACAATCCTTCAGCTTTTCATCAACGAGCTTCACAATCTCATTTACCAATTTTTCAATACAAACGAGCGCTTGTGTCTCGCTTTGCTGCGAAAGTTGGCGTGTGCGCGACAACAATAAACTAACGGTATTTAGTTCCTGCGAAATTTGCGCATTTAAGGCTGTAATACCTTCGATAAAGCATCTCGTGGCTGTTGCAAAAGATTGCAGGCCTTGTTCAGGCCACGATTCCCTTTGGCAATCGTCGGGCAGTTTATTAATTGCAATAACGAAATTATCTATTGCAGAAACGCTGTTATCGGCCTCTGATTTGTATGTCTGCATCAAACCGTTGAGCTCCTCAGTGCAAATGCTTAGGCGCGTATCGATGGTCGAACGCAGGTCCTCCGCGGTAAACGTAGCGTTGCAGCTATCGTTGCCTAGCTTACGTGACGCTTGATAGATCGGTTGTGCCAGCTGCTCCAGTGCATTGGCGATGAGGAACTCGATGCCTCCATGGAGGATATCCGCTGTGCGTTCAAGTTTGGTGCTCACTTGGAATGAGATTTCATCAGCTATGGAGGCGGTGTTGTACGCCAGAGATTCCATGGCAGTGCTGACAGGACCATTGGCGCTGTTAATAGCTGATTCATCGCCGGTTGGCAATAATGGTTCTTGAACAGCATCGTTGGCCTTGGACTGCTGAAAGAAATATTAATGCAAAAATATAGTAAGCCAATTTGACTGCGCTTCTTTAAAATATTTATCACCTTCACAGCCAAAATGGTAAGAATTGAAATTAGTAGCCGAAAGTATTGCATTTCAACCGTTCCGTATAAATCTTAAAGAGAAAATGAGCATGGAAGAACATCGCTTAGTTCAAAGACTGCTGCCGCCCTTTAGGCAACATCGCATGGCTGATAAGGGATCTTTTAAAAAAAAATTATGAGCATTACTAATGTAATTTTTTTTATCTTTTCCATTGCCAAAATGTTGTTGATATCTTTTCAATTTGCTTAATTAAATTCCACGAAATTAACTGTACCACTTTAACGAAATTAACTGATTGCAAAATAAATTTCGTAAAGTCCAAAAATCATATCAAACATTGTAGATTTTCAAAAGACAACGAACCAACCACAAACGAAAGAGCTGCGTGTTGGTGTACACCATGAAGTGAGCATGATTTTCCTATTCTACCACTTTAGTGCAATCCTGCTTGTGAGTTTAATTCTCAATCGCAAAAAATTTATTCCGCCTTCCATTAACTTCCGATTTCAGCTACCAGCACAGGCGCTGCCTTACAGCCCCTGGCTATCAACTCAGCGCTATGGCCCGCTCTACGAAGGCGTGAAGCTTCTAATCGCAGACGCCGAATTTCAAGCAGAGCTGACCTTCAACGAAACCGAGTATCAGCTTAACGAAGCTGTCAGCGCCATGCATGAGATGCAGTCGCCAATCACCGAATACGAACACTTGATTGGAGAACGTCTTCACGCCATGCTTGCCAATTCGCGTCCGACTGAAGCCCACAAACACTGCTACCATCAGCACGAGCTCGCCATTGCAACTTTGGACCGTGAACTTCTGGAGAAGCGACGTAGCTGTAAGCGTATGTTGGAGGTTAGTTTGACTGCGTTGAAGAATGAGGCTAATAGTGAGATTCATTTTATACGAAGCGCTGCTGCGGAAGCTCGCAATATGGTTGGCGCTTGCAATGTGGCTGCGCTGAAGCGGCGTAATAGTAACATCGATCAGGTGGGCATAGCAATGTGTGTTGTTGGACGGATTGGTGCGCTTAATCAGCGACTCTTTGAAGCATCACAAAATTTTTTCGATGAAATCGCCGCTGTGATGCTCGATGGAGATAATGTAGATGACGTAGGTGACAGTTGCGGTGACTTCGATGAATTGCGCCAACAATTCGAAAGAGTTTATGCTGATATCAGTAATTGTATTGCGCGTGGCGGCTCATAAATTATGAATATAAATAAGTACTTGATTGTATAAATAAAATTGAAGACATTTTATTTCTTTAATTGATATGTACCTGATTAAATCTACATATGAAATGTAAGTGAAGTGCACAATATACCGTTAAAGGTGTCACAAATTAAAGGGGCTCTGGGGACACACTGCGCAAAGTGATACCTACTGGGTAATTCGCTCCGATTTCGTAATTTTCATAGATCATTATTCCGACTAACTGTCTCAGTGTCGTATGTTGAAAGAAATCGAAATACGATGATATACACTGAGCCAATTTCTGCCTTCATTCATTCATTCAAAATTGTAGTTATTATAGCATACTAGCGCTGCAACCTAACTATATCTATTGTGCTAAACCTTAAGATGCCAATCGAATCTGAAGGTTAGCAGGGTGTCATGTTCCAGATTCTGATCACTTATCCGTGGCCGGTTCACAGAGCTGGCAGTGCATCTCATTAGAAAGTTCCATTTTATAAGGGTGGTATGTTGGCTTGCAGGGCCCTGCTTGATAAACCACAGGCAGCAGTAGGACCATGCACGCCACATTGGGTTGCTAATTTCAGGAAGTGTCAGCACTTTCGTTTCCATTAATGCCCTCATGACCCATCACAAGGAAATCCTGTTACATTTTTGCAATTGTCTACTTACCTTGACACCATTTTACGTGAGTCTAAGGCCCTTAATGCTGCCTTTGCTTCAGGCATGATGTTTATTGTGGCCCCGTTAGTCTTTCCACGAAGACATTCACTGCGAAAATGTATGTCGGGAATATGGTTATATATAAGCCCCTATATAAATATAGGTCCAAATACGCCGGCCCCAGTGTTTGGATCCATCAGGGTACCAGACTAGAGATCCTTCACTAATCATAGTGGTTATGGTTTACGAGCGTTCCATGTAGGTCTTAATAAAGGGCTTAGGTTGACAAGGGCGATCTAGTTTTAGTAAATAAACAATTTAAATGGATACTCACAGTTGAAAAAAGTGCCAATACTTGGTAGAGAAAATATATAAAACTATTTTACCTGCTCCCTGAAGTATAAGAGCCTTTGAACTATGATACATGGGCCACCGCATAAAATGTTTCAGCCACAGAACCTGAAGTTGTGGCAGGTAGCCTGTGAAAGGTCTTAAACCCTCTCAAATAAAATTTAGGAGTCGTTCCTAGGTTCCTCTGAGGATGTTATACATTTCTTGTATTGCCTTTTTTAGGAGATCTGCTGTGTATCATCTTAACGGACCATGAAAAAGCTGTGGACTATTTAAGCTCTGTTGGTGCCCACGTGTTGTGAGAGCGTTTGTTCTTTCGTTGCCATCAAAACTCTCATGCCGCGGTACTTACAAAAGTTAGTTAGGTGTTTTTTTTTACTCAATAGAGTTTCGTAGTTGTTCAAAAGCATAGATGCAGTTTTGAAAGAGTCCAGGGCTTGTAATGTTGTCTGAAACCGGGCCCAGCATTGGCATCCGCGAGCAAGCACCCAACAGTGTACCAAAACTCCCTGCAAGTGTCCCTTTCAGCATTTATTACCGTGTAGGGCTTGTTGAAGGATAATCGCGGAAGCTTTTTGGTTGCGGAATTAATGAAGGGATCCTCAAACAATAGTTTTAAAACCGTCAAGCGCCCTTGAAGTTCGCCACTTTTTATACTCACTAACCGAACCGAATCACTGAAGAACTCTGGCAAATAAACAGCAAGTTCTGATTGCAGCACGTTCATCAAAAATTCCTCGTACATATGTGTGCGATGTACATATAAACGGATACTTATAAATTTAAATTTTTTTTTTTTTTCATTGGCCAACAGTTTAGATTAGCGTGGGCCGAAAATCCGCCTTTTTAGAATTTTGATTGGCAATAGCAAAAATATGGTTCATTATGCTCTAAAAGCAATCTGTGTGAAAGATGGTTAATATCATACATAGCCTCGCCCAAGTTCATAAAAGTTCAAGTGGTAAACAATTTTTTTCTTGGCTTACTTCGATTCTCCACAAAAATGGTCCATATACCAAATTATGTAGGATTAATACTTTTGAAGATACTTGCAATTTTAGCAAAAAAAAAATGTATTAATTAATGTATTTATTAATTTTTTATTTTTTGAACACATTGAATTTTCATGGACTTGATATTGACCAAAAATTGTCATCTTTCACATAGATTGCCTTTAGAACATAATGAACCATATTTTCGCTATTACCAATCAAAATTATAAAACAGCGGATTTTCGGCCCACGCTACTGTAGATCATTCAATAACACCACAGATTGATTCAGTGTAAGCAAAAGTCGCTTTGTTGTTATACACAGGGTGAACACAATGCATTGATATACACTTAATCCGACCGCCGATACATTTAATGCTTTTCGCTGGCCTACATTTAGGCACCCGCAGAAGGCGAGCAATGAATAGGCATACGGAAGAAATGCACCGAGTGAAAGGTGTATGGTAGAAGGGGAGAGTTACGGTTGGTATGATCATTTATTAAATACTTGTCATAATATATTAATACGTGTAATAGCTTCCATGCCCTATGTATGCATATACATATGTGTGTGTGTGTACATATATCAAAATAATTCCGTATAGCTTCTTAAATTATTCATATCGCTGAAATACTTCCCGTTGTCAATAAAAACATAATAAGTCGTTTAGTATGCCTCTCGAATAAAATTTGCTCTTAATAACGTTTTGCCTGCGTTAATTGCGCTTATCCAAATGTTCTGCGACAGAGTTAGCGTTTCTATACAGGTTTGCAGGGTGGTGCAGAGTTCTCTAATTGTGAAACCCGATTTCCTGGATTACATAAATATATGTATGTATGTACATTAGGGCGGGTCGAAAAACACAAAATGTTTGATACGAAAATTGTATAGGTCTTAAGAGGTATTATTTTAATCCCTTATTCTCCGCGACAATATCTTCAGTCTTCAATACTGATCCATATTTTAATCAATTAATCTTTCTTTCCTACTTAATTTATGAAATAAGTTCCGGTTTTGATCTACACAAGTCGTTGTTAAAATTTTAAAAATTGGTATTCCCACTCTAATTTTAAAATTTTCAAGCTCATTCCGCAGACTGAGGATATGGACGCAGAGAACCAATATTTCTTTTCTAGAATAAGGTATTAAAATAGCACCTTTTAAGACCTATACAATTTTCGTATCAAATTTCAACTTAGTCTCAAATTCAGATTTGGTAGATTTTTTTCAAGTGAATGTTAAGTATTTTTTTTCGTTAGTGGCAACTTTGGTTGTGATTCTAAATAGGAATGTCTCTTAGAGGCGCCTTATTGCCGCAGAAACATCTTGAGCAGGAAATGAGCGCCATCGCTAAAATTGTATTCTTCTTCTTGTTGATTGACGCTATAACCGCGTATGTAGAAACACTGAGGAGGCATGGATGTTCAAGCACTTGTGGGCAAGAGTGATTCTCCGTTGGATTTCAAGGCTGACATTATTACTGTATCTACTGAGATTGTCTAAAGTACGAATCTTAGCAAGCAATCGATGTGTGCAAGTCGGTCGCGACTAAAATATAGCTTTTTAATGGGACATGGTCGCCGCTGACGTAGGTCCATAGCGACAGATCTATGGTAGATTTTAAAAAGCTCTCGCGCAATATGATTTTAAAGCGGTGGTGGGCATCGGCCTGCCCGTGGGCAAATCTCTTACAAGCTTTGTATACATTTAATATAGAAAGCTTGACAGAGCTTTGCCCGCGGGAAAGCCCACGCCCACAACCGTTATAAGGTCACTGATATAGTTTTGCGTCGACCAGACTAGACTAGACGTTAAAATGCTTCACCCATCGGCTATACTTCGGTCGTGATTGTTCTAATAGCAACCATACGACCAAACCCAGTCTTAACTTTGGTGTAAATTTCAAACGCAATTTCATACTAAATATGAAAAAAAAGAAACGCAATTTGTAACACATATACATACATAAATATATGTACATTCATATAAAAATCTCTATATTACAACTTTCCTACACATCTGCGGTTCTACCCGTCGGGCACGCCGGTTAATATGTATAGCACAAATAAGAATCTCCAAATAATCCCAATACAATCGTTGTTTACGTACAAAAATAAAATTAAATGTATAAACGGTTAAAAAATAAATAAATCAAGGACATTTTTATGGCACATTTGTTACACTGTGACTAGACTAGTTAGACAATGCTCTCTTTATGTCGTCGGACATATTGCTCACTTTGCGATTTATTTAAAGGCTCCATTGGTCGTTGACCCAACACGCCGCCGAAAACAGTGGCGCTCTGACTACCAGCAAAACCTCTGCCCGCTTGCGGCGACGACTGTGACTTCTGGACACTTTCGTGTAGATTCTCCGCGGCAAGTTGCGGAACGGCAATCACATCCGTCAACAGTGTTTGGCGACACAATGCCGACAATGCTCGGCCACTACTTCTTGACGCCTCTGACTCCTTTGCAGCATCTTTGCCTTTTTTGCTACCCTTGCCTCGGCGGAATTTCGATGCAAGCGTTGCGAAACCCAGCTTGCTGGTTATTTTACCCGAACGGCTTACTGAACGTGGCAGCGAGTCGTAGAGGCTAATGTCTGCATCTGTACCGGTGTCCGAGTGTGTAGGTGTTTCGGTGTACGAATCACCTGTAAACGTGCTAACGCTGAAGCTTTTCGGCAAATTGGCCTCATCACCCGCTGCCGACGAGATGCTGTAGTCGCTGCGCCGATGTTGCTCCCATGTTTCGCTGCGCACGATGTCATCGCGTCGTTTCACATCAGGTTGCGCTGCAGCACCATTACCTTGCAGAAACTCTTCCTTCGCTTTCTGTATACGCAATGCGCGCTCTGAAAGCGGCGTACGTGGCGTTTCTTGCGTCGCGACTAGATGTGGTGTTGGTGTTGTCGGCTCAGAGCTGTGTGGTGCGGAAAAATCGAAATGCTGCGCTTGCATGCTGGTGGGAGTGAGAGATTTTCGTTCCAGTTTGCGTGCAATGCGTGGTTTTGTGTTGTCGAATTTGTCGGGTGTAAGTATGTGGGGTGAAGTTTCACCAATCGAGGCTCCTGAATGTGTTTTTGCAATTTTCGTTTCGATTTTTTTGATTGTGGCGCTTTGCGATTTCGAGAAAGGTATGTGATAGTGTGACTTTTCCGTATTCTTTTTGAATATATGCTCTTTACGCACCTCTGTGGGACTACTATCCACCGTGTTTGACATAGCCATGCCTATTTTCGCTGGACTGGCTGATTCACGCATTAGACTGGTGCAGCTTTTGTTGATAACGCGAAAGCTATCGGACGCAAGTGGCGGGCGTGCATCCCTCGCCAGCTTTAAAGTGGGAGTTGCGAGCTTCTCGGCGCTTTGACACTTACGCTCATCCTCGTACTCGCACGCGATAACGCGTACATCACCCTGACTCAAAGACTTGCATGTCGAATTTGAGCATTTCGGCGTTAGACTACCAACTTCAGTGGGCGTTTCCGAGTCATCCAAATCTGTAGCTTCCGGCATAGTACTTTCAGCATCTGTAAGCGCCGTTGCGTCGGGAGCTTCCAGCTCAGTTGGCGATTGCGCCAATTCTTGTTCGATAACCGCTATGCCGCCGATGGCACTCGGCTCAGCGACTGCTGTAAATACTTTTCGTTTGGTTTTCACAAAAACATTTTCATTTTGGTTAAAAATTAAGTTTTCTTTGGGATCAATATCATCGAGTGGTGGTCGTGTCGGTTTGGTTGTGGCTGCCGCCAGACACTTATCACTGCCACTAATCGGTCGGTAGTTGTTGGTTTCGGATAGGCAGCGTGCCATGTTAACCACACTTTCGCATTGTTCAATTGGATGTCCAGGCTTCACCTTCAATACATAAACGATGTCATCGGCAGGTGCCTCCTCGACTCTACCATAGTCTTCGTCGAAGGAACGTTGCTTTATGCGAANACCTTCAATACATAAACGATGTCATCGGCAGGTGCCTCCTCGACTCTACCATAGTCTTCGTCGAAGGAACGTTGCTTTATGCGAAAATTCTTGCGCTTTACGCGTCGTGGCGTCTCCAAAACGCTGTGGTTGTCCGCATCACTGCTATCGCTTTCGGTTTTGCTGTTCTGTCGAGAGCCCGTTTTGCGAAGGCGTAACTTCTTTTTACCAGTGGCGCCGTTCGCGCCATTACTGTTGGCATTTTGGGTACGTTGCGATATCTTCGGTGCCTCGGCCTCATCGTTTTCTGCGTGCGATGCGCTCCACTCATCCGTTGCTTCTAGTGTGGTTGAAATCTGATCCTTTGAAATATCAGCCGCAGTGTTTTGTGCATCGACTGCGGTTATATTTATGTCCGGCACCATGTCACGGGGGTACGGTGTAGAGCCGCCATCTGGGAAGAAGAATATGAAATTGGTTTACTGGTGATTAACATTTAAATATTTGTGGATTACTTACGAATACTTCTCCGAAGCAAAGTCAGGGATTCATGTAAGCCCTTCAGCTCCTCGTTGTACTCAATATTGCGCTCCTCAATGATTTCCTGGCAACAGGCCTCGTCAAGTGGGCACTTTTCACACTAAATATGTGGAGAAATTAAGAAAAAGTTTAGGGGTTAAAGGAAGTAACGAATGGCGAGGGGAAGCCAAAGCAGTTAAGTTATAGGGCCAGAAGAGAGTGAATACACTCCCGCGAATTCGATTTAAGGGTCCACCGAAGTCTGCAGCGTTTGTTCAGTGAAATAAGTTAGAAGGCGGGTATCTGTCTGGGAGCAAGCGGAACGCTAGATGAACTCCTATTCAACAAAATTGAATTGATTAAAGTTTTACCCACGCATATCCACGCACCAGTGACAGAGAAGGACATGCTTCTATAGAGCTCCTTTATAAGCGCTTCAAACACCCTTACGAGGGATTCCTACGGCTCGATTGGAGTATTTTCATAATAACGAAAATAAAAACACAACTATCGAGAAAGTTCTCAACGGGATTTAAATAAGAACAAACCAAAGACGTTTCCAACACGAACAATGCTTTCGTAAACAAAAGTCTGGGGAACGTACTGGCAAAGAAAAAACCTGGAGCGAAAGTGAAAAGAACTTTCTCTCGAAAATCCATTTGGGAACTTGGGAAAAGAGAACGGAACGGGAACAAATCCTCTCTGAAATATTCGCGAAGAATGGAAGCGAGACCCGCATTTTTTCAGTGTTCTAGATGTATGTACGAACTGAGGACTAAGCAAAAACTATGTCGAAAAGCAGCAATTACAACAGACAGTTAGCTCCTTGGCACTTTCATCATTATTGACAGGCCAGGTGGAGAGGGTCTTGTCTTATCGTCGAATCTCCAATATGAGTCAGTTGGAGAAGAGAAAGGAACAACGTCCTCGCTTAGGCCGAGGCCACGCAATGAGCGGCAAAGCGGCGAGCGGCTGAGCTGTTTAATTTAAACATAGGAAATACTATTGAAGTGGCCATGCTCTGAGCGGCATTTTTGTATGACGCCGCTCATTGCGTGGCCTCGACCTTAGGCGGCTACAGCGCTAATCGCGAGGAAGAAGAAGTTTGGCGGTGAGTTCGGCTGAGCAGCGAGAATGGCTCCTGTCCTCTTCTTTCGTACATAAATAGATAGTTTAAGAAAACTCACCAAATCGCTAATTCGGCTCAATTCGCTTTGCACATCCGATATGGCATTCAGAACGTTCGGCTTCATCAGACTATCCGAGTAGTATGGATATATGTTGCGTATGTATGTAAGCATCGTTTCGCACTGACCTAGCTCCACATTTTGGCACAAATCCACCGATGCGCGTTTAAGTTTAGTGAAAATCTCCTCAGTTCGCTGCAGAACGGAGAGCAGAGGTGCCAAATTGGTGTGCGACTCGTAGCTTTGTACTCGTCGCGTATTGCTGTAAAGGAAGGCCCAAAAAAAAAACATTGTTTTCGCATTTCAACCCACCAGCTTTTACAGGGCTTTTGATTACTCACCAGTAGTCGCTGCAAGCGCACTCTTCATACTTATAGATTGGTGTTTGCTGCTCCACTAGGGTGTGCGCGGTAATCAGCGGTGATGCCGTCTCCTCAATGTGATCCTCCACTTCCACCATAACCGCTTCGGGTTCTTCGTATTTCTTGTACTCGTGCTCATCAAGCACATCTGAGCTGCCTTGATTGTCCATCTCTTTCAGCTCATTCACGTCGTTGAGCGATAAGCTGGAGGCTTGTTGTGAGATGGCGGGCAGAGTAGCGTTATTTTGGGCGATGCTATCCAATGAAAACGAACGACTGAGTGTGGGTGAGTTGTCATCTACGAAGAAATAATTTAAATTAGTGACGAAGTGTGTGGGGCACACTGTTGACTTACTGGTATTATTTTCTTTTGTGATGCGATCTACTACAATCGGACGATAGCCCGGATGCAATAACGCAAATGTCGACGACTCGGGTCCTATGCCACGTGCCTTCTCCCATTCGTACAGTTTGCGTGTGAATTTGCGTGATATGCCCTCGAACTTCATAACACCTTCTGAGGTCTGTACCTTGATTTCCTTGGCCGGATGATCGGTTACGATCGCTTTGAGTTTGGCTAGTCTGTGTTGAAGAAATGTTTAGGAGAATGAAAGTGCTAAAGTCACAGTTGCACTTACTTCTCGAGTTTATCCTTATCGTGTGGCTTATTTTCAACAGTTTTCTTCACGCTATCAGTAAGTTTACTGGAACGTTTTATGGAATCCTGACCGCTAGGAATATTGCTTGTGCCACCACTTTGTTTGAGTTTATTCCATTGCTCTGTGGAATGGTTTTATTTTATTTTGGAGTATACTAAATCCAAGAAATTTATCCTTACCCAACTTCTTTTGAAAGTCCTCTGGCAAGTTCTTCTGATCAGGCAACGGTGTTAGACCTTGTCCCTCCAACTTCAACTGGCCGGTTTTCCACAGGTTCCAATCGATTTTCGGCTTTGAATCTGAAGGACACTCGCGCACCGGCGATGTCGGCGAGATTTGCGTTGAATGCCCGCCGCTGACTGAGATTTGTTTTTTCACGCGCCATTTGCGTAGTTTCTTCTTAAAGTCCGGTGTTAGATTTTCTTCCAAGAGTTTAGCTGAGAGGTTATTATTAAAGACTGGATGTTGCGGATGCTCTTCTGGTTTTGGGGGCGTGATTAAGGCTATCGCTGTTCATTTGAAGAAGAATGAACATTTAAGTTAATTTTATTTTGGAGAAGTTTGGAAAATTTGGGAAAATTTGTAGCAAAATATTACAAGCAAAACTAAAACTCAATACGATTTCAGAAACCTTTGTTCGTTGAGAAATCTTTTGATGCTGGAGAAGTGGGGAAACTCTAAGGAGGTAGTGCGCGAAACCAGGGTGATCAAGTGTGACGAGCACCTCCCTTAAGCCTTCCTCAAATAGCGCTCTTCAAGGTTTGGAAGGGTCTGAAGCTCAAACTTATCGATGTCAGAGAGATTCCCAGGAGCGCTATGGCTCGCATTTGGCACATGAATATTGATGGCAGGACACTACTTAAATATCTTGACGCCCACAATTTCGAAATGGGTGGGCGTGTAAGTCTAAAGTGTCACAGACCTTTCTGCTTCTTATTAGTAAGGAGAGCATTGAAGCTTTGGAAAATACATTTTCCAGGCTTCAGCAGCAGACAGCAACGGAGCGCAACCATCCATATATATTGTAAGCGAAATTATTAGACTTGAGAAGATTGCATGGCTCTCGGAAAAAATCTCTGGGTCCAGAAGGAACATTTCTGTCAATGCTACCAGAGGCTAAATCTTTGATGATCCCGTGGCTGTAGAGTATTTTAAAATCAAGCCTAGAGTGCTCCGTCAACATCAGGTTTGGCCGTCTGTGACTCAATTAAGGTCAGCGAACGTCAGAACGTAAAAACTAAGCCATGCGCAATTTCAAGGTCCTTCTTGACCTGCTGAATCGAAATTGGTCCAAAGAGCATCTTACGTGCCTTAGCTACAGGTTGAAGATTCTGACAGATCACTATCCGATCATGTGATGCTTAAAGTCGCAGCCTGTAACGGGACGGCAGGGGGAAGTCATCTCCACACTCTCTTTGGTTGTCTAGATTTTTCGAGGCTAGGATTAAAGTCTCTTGGCACTCACTTTATAACCGAGCCTAATCAAACCTCGGGGATATGTATTAGCCGTATTCGTAACTTTGTGTTTGGCTCATGGCGGGTAGGGGTTACTATTCCAAATTGCGTGGTTTCATAAAGAATCACCTCAAAAATGTCAGAGTATTCAATCAACTGGAGAAGAAACATAGATGAAACTATATATGTACATATATGTATCCTGCTAAAACTCTTCTAAGGCGGTAATTAACTTTGTCCAGCAAAGAAACCTAGGATACAGGACTTTTGTTTGTTACTTCCTTATTTCTATCCACCATAAGTCAAGGAAGTTCTAAGTGAAGACGGGAATTGACGATCGTCTTTATCCAGAAGAATTCTCATTGCCAATTATTTGAAAATCGAGAATTGCTCTATAGTCTGATCAGCCTACAGAGTGAGGAGTTGGAATAGTTATAGGTTACGTTACTTGCAGTTTTTCCGCATTTTTTACATTTACCCGTGGCCATAATGATCTAGAAACCAACCGATCATCTTCATTGGTCCATAAGTCATTTATTACGGCTGCGGTTGCAGCTGAGGCGCGCTCCTCACAGCTCTCGATATTCAAAGGCATGCGAGTATTTGTACTTTCCAATTATTTTCTCCTCTCTTCCCGTTCTAAAACTGTTTCACATGGTTCGATTGATTTCATCCTCTTAAACCTAAGCTTGATACGAAAGTATCTATAGTCGCGGTATTAAATAAAGTTATCTCACCTCTACATGCGTTAGTATTGGCTTTCATTTTATCCCATTCGCGACGTTTCGCTTCGAATTCCATGTCAAATTTGGCACGTAGCATCTGATAACGTTGATTGATTTCATTCTTTTCGTCAAGAAACGACTTGTGCGATGTCATGTGATTCGGCGTGGTAGGTTCGGAAAAATCACCACTAGATAAATCTTCACTTTCTGTAAAAGAACAGAGAAACACCGCCTGTACTTCATTTCTCTACTAAAGCTGCTGCTTTACCCACCGAATTCACAAAAAAAGTCCGAGTGTCGCGAAGGGCTGCTTGGCACCGATGAATTACCCGGCGAATTGATTTTCTTCGAGCGATTCAATGACTGTGTGCCATCTTTGGGGCTTTTCAGTGAGTAGGGTGAGTAAGAGAAATCCGAGTCGGTAAGCTCCTGAAATGGAAATCGGAAATCATTATTATAGAGCATTTTCTTTTTTTTTGTACNTGAGTAGGGTGAGTAAGAGAAATCCGAGTCGGTAAGCTCCTGAAATGGAATCGGAAATCATTATTACAGAGCATTTTTTTTTCGTTAGGATAGTTCCAATACCTGTTTGAGGTTAAGATTTAGTGGACTTGGTGGTGGTTTTGTGCGACGGGATGTTGTGCCTTTCAGTTCAACGACTACATCTTCTGGCAGTGCCTCAAAGTCAGTAAGATTCTTATTTTTACGCAAAGATTTGATTGAGGAGGATTTTTTCGATGTAAGCGTACGCGTGTTGCCATCGTTCTTCGATGGTGGCTGCAATGTTTCGGCATCATCGGTTTTTGAATGTTCCAATAGAGACGATTGACTATGCCCAACCACACGACTTTCGCTCTTGGTGGAATCTCTTCCTGCGAATGAATTTGAAGCTCGCATTAAAAGGAGTATATAATTATTTTACAAAAATTTGTTTTTTTTTTAAGTGCACGAATAATATTTTATTTATTGTAAATAAAGAGATAAAAATGCTATGTGAAATAAATAAATCATTAAAAAACAGTAAACAAATTACTCAGCGTGCTGCGACAGCTGCTATCAATATCGTCCATTGAACTCGCCGAACTGATTGTGCCCGGCGTACCAGCTTCACTTAGCAGATGCCCCGATGATGAGCTCAGTATGCTATCAGCCGAGCTACCACCACCGCCGGCGGGGCAAGGCAATGATGGCACTCGCAAATATCTAAGAAAAAGAAGAATACCGTTTCCAGCAAAAACAAGGCAGCAACAATTTTCTGCGCCTCAAACTCACCTCGCAACTTCGTTGTTTACCGGCGACAAACCCACACTATGCGACACGTGCTCCTTGGGCACAGCATTATAAACGATTATGCCACCAGTTCCTACGCCTTCGGCTAGCGCCGGCACATTGGCACGCTCCCACTTGAACGCAGCCTTGACCTTCGTCCACTTTGAAACCTTCGATTTGCCCTCACTGTAGGTACTTTGACGCCGCAGCATGTGCGGCAAGGCGCTTGAGCTTTTCGAGTCGCGTTCATGGTCCGCTTTAACGCCAAGCGACGCCACAGATGTGCATGCCATATCGTCAATCATCATCGATTTGCTGCGCTGGCGTTGCCTGAAAAACATAAAAATAAAAAATAAAAAAAGCAAAGAGCGACTGAGCAACAGTTTGTTTCGTCGCGCCACGGACACCTGCACCTGTCTGCGCCAATCGAGCTCTCTGTGTCACTCACGCTCACTTGGTGTCGCTCGATCAGCTCGCAACAGGTGTTTGCCGCTCTTCGGTACTCACTGTTTGAGAGCGCCTCGTTTAATGGAAGAGGGATTACTGCCACCATAGCTGCCGCCTCCAAAAGCGCTGAAACTGCCGAAACTGAGCGACGAAGTGGCCGGTGTCGCGGGAGCTGGCGTCGTTGCGGACTCGCCCAATATTGATTCGATGAGCGCGATCGATTGTTCCACATCCGCCTCTGTGTCTGAGTACTGATCTTGATCGCGCTCATGCTGCTGCTGGTGTTGCTGTTGCTGTTGCTGCGGCTGTTGTTGTTGTTGTTGTTGCAAACGCACTTGTTGTAGTCGCTTACTGCGCGCCTCTTTGGCGTTTTCCATCTAAATTTCATACACACGCGCCCACATCGTACACGTACACGTATACACAACATGAGAAAGGGGTGAGAGAGCAAGAAGAGTGGAGGAGCGCGCGTGAGTTAGAAAGTCTATTTATTTATGTTCTTTATTTTGCGTGTTTATTTAATTTCACCCAAATTGCGTTGGTTTTTTGTTGATGGTTTTCCCATTTTGTCTATTTTTATTTTTAATTTTTAATTTTTTTTTTGCTAAATACTTAAACTCACCTTTTCGTTGAGCAGATTTACGTAATTGAGACATTCCCGCTGTCGCCGCCACTTTGCCGCCTCATCCAGGTACTTATCCCACAATGCGTAGAGGCGCGATAATTGCTCCACGGCGCCCTGGGCTGCCAACAGTGCAGACAAACTGCTACCCAAGCGGCTCTGCAACGGATCGATGAACAGAATGCATTCCTGTCGCATGTGCTGACAGTAGGCGCAACGCGGCTGCTCTCCGTCATGGTGTTGCGTTTGTTGTTGCTGTTGTTGGGCTTGCTGTTGTACTGAGTTGTTGTTGCGCTTGCCGCTGTTGTTGTCTGTCCGTCTCATGTGCCGCCGCCGCCTTGCAATCGTTCGCTATGATTTTGTTGAGTGTTTTATAAAATTCCTCTTCGCTTTCGACGTAGTTGAAGAGCGTGTGGTAGCCAGCTGGCAGATTTTCTTTGGTTTTGGGTGGAAATTGAAAAATGTTATCGCTCTGACGTGGATCTGGTGGTGGTGATGGCAATGTTTCATACGCATATGTGCCCGAGGTGCGGCGTGATGAGGATTTCGATGAAGTTGTTTGTGGTTGTGTTGGTGTGATGTGCGCGGCGTTGGGCGTTAGCGGAAGGGAGCGCGCGGATAACGGACGATCCGGCAATTTTTCCATTAGTTGCGTTTGCTAGATGTTTAGGTATGTATGTATGTATGTATGTATGCAATATATGTGTGTGATATCTTCGCTGGAATAAAAAATGTTCGCATTTTGCTATAAATGAATTAAATTTAATTGGCGAAAATAAAAAAAATAAAAATTCGAATGGAAAAGAGTATGCAAATATACTCAAATGCCCGTTTCTACAATGTTGCTAATATTTTCTGTTTTTTTTTTTTTACTAATTTGTAAACATCTGTTCAATACTTTACTCGACATCCCTCAATTTTAATCGCTCGAAATTATGCCAAGTGAATATTGCCAATATCTCTAATAGTCATTTAAAATGTAAACATTGTTGCGCCGAGCTATGTACATGTGTACATACATACATATGTATGTATGTATTGATCCATGTAGGTAAGAATGTGCTAGGCCGCGTATTTCGTGAATGTTTTGGTTTGTTTACTTAATTGGCATACGCAGCCATTATAACAACCCAGTCGGACTTGGTTGCTTCCAAGATGTACTTATATCACGGCTCCTTTTCCACTCAGAAGTTGTTCCAATAACATGGAGTCTTTAACGGTTATTTAAGAAGATAATTTCACATGAGGTGGGTATTGTTGGTTTTGAGAGCTTTGCAGAGTATCTATTCTCGTTCGGATTTATTTGCCAAAAGTCAAAATGCTGACTTTAGCAGTGAAGTTTTCGCGACCTACAGATTTTTAGCCTTCCGTCGTAGTGAAAAAAGAGTATAATTATTTATTAATGTAGATTTTTTCTAAATTTTTCCTAAATGTATTTTTTTTTAATGTGGTTCGAATTTCTCGCGAAAAACCCAGTACCCTAAAAGGCATTCTTAGGGAACCACATTCTGCATGGTCCGACTGGGAAGTACGGGCAGATCTCTGATGGAAATACGGACATATGTACATACATGCATACTTATTAGGGTTATGGATTTTTTTTTTCGATTTTAAAAGCCTGTGGTTGCATACGATGACCCTTTGGTAAAAATGCCGGAAAAGTTAAATGACCTTCTTCAGATATATATCTAAGTAAGAAAGTCACTCGCATAACGGTATTTATCTTTTCATTAAGTCAAATAAAATAGACCTTCTCCGATGTTCTTAGTTCACTTAAGAATGCAAAGTAAGGAAATAGTAGTGTCATAATATTTGCCAAAAAGTTGTAAAGCCCGAACATAGATAAGTCTATTTAACCGATTATCCAGTCCTGCAATTCACCTTTTTTCACCAGAAATGTCGATGAAAGTAGATTTTTTCTTTTTACTGAAAATTCTATACCGTAAAAGTGTTTACTTTTTGGCTGCCCTTGCAATTTTGAAAGTCCTTGTGCGCTGAAGGATTTTTAAGTTTGCCCAAATTAGGGCGTTTTCCCGAAGCCTTATGCCAAGCATTACCACATGGCACACAGGCTGTAACACATTAAAAAAAAAAAAAAGCCAAAAAAGTCATAACCCTAATAGTTATTTATTCGTACGAATGCATTAATTCAACGCTATATACAAACATATTTCTTTCATCTCCTTAATAACTAAAGAAATTTGTTTGTATTATGAATCATAGCAATTTCAATCCCCTCAAATTCGCTTTAAAAATTGTGTTAACTGAAATTTAGATCACTCATACGCCCCGGTGTGCTTGGACTTGATTGTTTAGTTAGCCGTTTATTACCTTCTTATCTTTTTTTCTTAAATCGTATTATACATATATATATTGGCACTAAATATAACCAGTGGAGTAGTTTTATTTTCGGTTGAAAACTGGCCATTTAATAATTAAAAATTTTTTTTTTATCTTTAACAAATTTTTAATATTTTTTCTCTACAGAAAGGACTGCCTTAGATCGAGGCCACGCAATGAGCGGCAAAGCGGCAAGCGGCGCCATACAATAACGCCGCTCAGAAATGTCGTTCAGAGCATGGCCACTTCAATAGTATTTCATATGTTTTAATTAAGCCGCTCAGCCGCTCGCCGCTTTGCCGCTCATTGTGTGGCCTCGGCCTAAGCATACCCGACCATTTGAATTAATATATTTTTTTTAACCTTTAAGGTGGATTAAGTAAGACGGGCCACAAGGCTAATTGTGATGACCAGCAGAGGGATTCTCTCTCTTGATGAAGTTTTCCCTAAGCTGCCGAAGCTTTTGAAGAAGTTTTCCCACAGAAATTTGAGACGTTTTCGCCGGAGTGCCATGTACTCGCATAGGAAATGCTGTATGGATTCTATATCCACCTCATGTCTGCAGCATCTCTAGTGATCGTTATATGAGGCTCTTGGCGGTCATGTGGCTAATGGTCCAGCGTTCCGTTGGGTCGTATTCCTGTGGGAAGTCTACCGCTTCTCTTTGAGAGCGTCATCCCAGTCCGTGTTCGGATTGTAATAGGAGCACAGCAATACATATATACATACATATGTCATTTATTTTAATTCAATTACCTTGCTAACCATTTTTTCAGAGTATTCTTAATTATAGTGAAATTTTAAAGAATTCTCATACGATTTTTTGCCGACTTTTCTAAAATGAAACAATCTGTGCACACTTCGAGAAAATCGTTGAAGAAATCAAAATTATGCTGTTGTGTGTAAGATTTTTTGCAGATTTTTTTCAGAATTTTCTTTATTTTTCGCACAGAAATTTCTTTGCGAGTGCGTGTCAATCACTTCTTATAATTTTACTCCTAAAGACTTCGTTAAGATTTCGGGAACTTTAGTTTGCATTGGACGTATAGATCAGAACAGGTAATCATACAAATTTAAAAAAATTGAAAAGCTAAAATAATTCATTCGTTTTGTATATGAATAATTCATATGCCGTTTTGAATGAATTCAATTCGTAGACGCAGCTCGTAAAATTTTATACAGGGGATAATGCTGCCATCAAACATTTATCCTTAGTTTAGTCAAAGAGGGATTGTTTCATTGTTTTAGTTGCTATCGGGGACAATGCACCAAGTGGCTAATAAATTACCAAATGGACTACCTATGTGCAAATGTGAAAGTGATCAGCTGTTTCAAACATTGGAATTTTTTTCCATTTTTGACCTCTCGTTATTTTGTCTCTTTGATAGCGAACGCTCGGAAATTTTGCTGCTGGATAATTTTGTCGGCAGACTACGAAAACACTCCTAGACCCGTCATTCTCAAACAAATTTTACGAATTTTTACCACTTTGCTGGCAAGTTTTTGTTGGAAATGCGTTCAATAACCCCAAAACATTTGCAAGAGAGCGAATTCGAAAGCGCAACAAAACGATAGAGCTGCAAATTGTTGCAAGTAAAAATTTAAAAAAATCTGGCATGTGTCCATTTCAAATTTATGGCGTTTTCTTTTCTCAAAAAAAGTTCTGCCCTTTTATATGGGAACTCTTGCTTTGCGTTGCCCTGAAACCTGAGAAAATGTTGCGTTCTTTATATGAGAATGAAATAGAAAATATACTACTCCATCACAATTTATTTATAGAACTCAATAAAGCTGAATTATTCACTTAGCCTGTAAGTCTTTAACAATTTTAAAGCAAAACACTTATTTCTGATAGGGAAAATAATTGCATATAAAAGGGCAGAAGTTGTTTTGAGAAAAGAAAACACTATAAATTAAAAATCCACCATGCAGCTCTCACCCTCACGTTTATTTGAGGGCAGAAAAGGCAGCACTTTCGCCGGATCAGAGCGCAACCTGCTGAGAAAAGAACACGGCGCCTTGTGAAAGGGCTGAGAAAAGAACATGACAATGTGACAGCGCTAACACAAGGCAGAATAAGTGCAGCCTTTTTTTGAGAAAAGTAAACGCTATTAAACAAAATCTTTAAGATGGTAGATTTGATGAAAAATTGCTCAGAAAAATAAGTGAAATGAAAGTCTAGATGAATAGTCAACCTCTAAGGTATTTTTTTTTTTTTTGTTTTTATGATGATGGGAAAAATTTCCCACCAAAAGGAAAATAACGCGCCAGAACTTAACCATCAGAAAATCAAAATGGCGTAAGTTCTACCTTATTATTAGTTTTGCGTTCAGTAACTTTTCCTGATAATTTTCTTTTCCTCTAAATTTTACTCTCTATTACCATGTTTCTATGATGCTTCTAATGAGATTTTTGATGCTGTTTTTCTGTGTAAGAAAAACTTAAATAACTGCTCCAAAACTTTATTATTTATTTCTTTGCAAAAAAACTCACGTCCCAATTTTTTTTTTTTAATCAAATTCCAACACATCTTAATTCAACATGGAATTACACTCGTTTTTCTTACCGTCCTCTTTCATACTTTGAATGAGCTTATTCGCAAAGAAATTAAAAGGGTGAGAGAATACCTTACCAATGATACCTCACAGGTCTAAATTGGTCAGCTTTTGGCTGAGTTTTTTAAAAACTAATAAAAAAAATGTTTTTATAACTAAAAAACTAAATTTTTGGAGGTATTTTCAAGTCGGTTCAGCTCACGTAAATCTCAAATTTTTGCGAGATATTTTGGTGAAAATATAATAGATTTTATAATTCCAGTGGAAAAACAGTACCGATTTTTTGTTGTATGTGGAGTGATGCAGTCTACTGTACATAAGTTGACTATGATTTCTCGGCCGTGCTATCATAGTAGCACAATGCCACTAAGTGAATTTTTAAATTTTCAGGCAATAGCCTCATGCGATTATCGATTATATTTTTTGTTGTTTGTGTAAACTATTTTTATTTAATCAGTATCTTTTTTTTTTNGCCTCATGCGATTATCGATTATATTTTTTGTTGTTTGTGTAAACTATTTTATTTTAATCAGTATCTTTTTTTTTAAATCAAAATATGTTGCAACAAAAGTGAAAATAAAAAAAAATATTTTGCCNTTTTTTTTTTGTTTTTATGATGATGGGAAAAATTTCCCACCAAAAGGAAAATAACGCGCCAGAACTTAACCATCAGAAAATCAAAATGGCGTAAGTTCTACCTTATTATTAGTTTTGCGTTCAGTAACTTTTCCTGATAATTTTCTTTTCCTCTAAATTTTACTCTCTATTACCATGTTTCTATGATGCTTCTAATGAGATTTTTGATGCTGTTTTTCTGTGTAAGA